TTTCACCATGAAGTCCCGGTAGGAAAGCTGAGGCAGGTTTTCTTTAGCTTTTTTTGTTTTTTATAAGAGAACCCACTCCCCAGGCACCTCACCAGCTTTGTGTATAAAAAGTGAACAATAATTTTTTGTCTTTAAAGTCAACGAAGGCAAGGCATAATTAAAGTGAGGTCTCTCTATTTGTCGTTTTAAAAAAACATTTAATTTTTTTTTTTACTGGGCCTCGGGGGAGAGAGATCTGGAGAGAGAGAAAAGAAAGAGGGAGGAATTGTGGAGTGAGGGAGGGAGGGAGGGAGGGAGAGAGAGAGAGAGAGAGAGAGAGAGAGAGAGAGAGAGAGAGAGAGGAAGGGGGAGAGAGAACGAGAGAGAGATAGAGAAAGAGAGAGAGAGAGAGAGAGAGAGAGAGAGAGAGAGAGAGAGAGAAACATTGATTCGTTGTTCCACTTATTTATGCATTCATTGGTGTGACCTGAGCAGGGATTGAACCTACAAGGTAGGGGTATATGGATGACACTCTAACCAACAGAGCTACCCAGCCAGGACCTACCTTAGCTTTAAGAAAAAAAATCTGACAGTAGTAACAACTGGAATTTTACATATTAAATAACATTCATATTGTTGAAAAAAGCACAAATTACTTACTAAAATACTCTTTTGAGATTGATCTTCATCTTCTCAGGTTCAGTTGTGACAGTGACAGTATTACAGTGGGAGCTCAATTAATTTTAACAACACATGTGGGTGATATGAGCACATACCTATTCATGCTGTTCTAGTAAGATCTCTCTATACCACAGCCTTGAAACTACATTTTCATCACAGTACTATATCCTCATTCTAAGGGAAAATGCAGATTAGTCTCAGCAGACATCTTATCAGGCTCCTCTTTGAGAATGATACAAAATGAGTCATCAAGAGAGCAACTGAAGGTTTCAGAGATCAACCAAAGGACTTGTATGCATGCATATAAGCATAACTAATGAACACAGACACTAGGGGCATGAGGGTATGCACTGGGGGGTGGGAGTGGTTGGGGAGAGGTCAATGGGGGGGGAAAGGAGACATATGTAAATTTTTAATCAATAAAGAAGAAATTAAAAAAACTCCGGAAACCAGAACCAAATCCACATTCTAAAAGAATGGGCTCAGGTAGTTTTTTAAATCAGTCTGTATAATAAGGAGCTAATATGCTAATTAGATCGAACAGCAGAACAACTATCCGGAGGACCTTCTGGACAAAGCCGGGC